ATAAGCTATGCACACATATACCATACGTACACCTATACACACATGTACACAAACTCGGATCTTGGAACATTTCAGACTTGAGTTTTAGACTAGGAATGCTCATCCTGTATACTTGTCCTTTTGAATTTTTTTTAAAGCATTAATTTTGTGTATGTGTAGGTCAGAAGACAACTAGTGAGTCTGTTCACATGGGTCATGGGGATCGAACTAGGGTTGTCAGGCTTGGCTGAAGGAGCCTTTACCTGCTGACTTTTTTTTTTTTTAAAAACCCTCGATCACTAGAAGTAAATTTCACATTCCTTCTGGTAAAGGTTGATAGTGACTAAGTTTGCTGAGTCTTAGAAACTGCTTTCTCCCTGGAAGAGTAGCCCAACTCCTGATGAGTCATGTCAGACCAATAATGTCATATCTGTTCTGGGAGGAAGTTACCAATGGTCATCACTGTGTTGGCTTCTTGGGTGACCAGTCAGTGTCTTCTCTGGAGCCTGAGATGTTGCTGCCTGTTCATAGGGTTCTATGGTGTGTTTGGAGGTGTAGCTCTGGCTGTATACTTTTTTTTTTTCTGGACTATGTTTTTAATTTGTTCATTTTGTTTAAGGGAGAAACAGTATTCTTTATTTAAAAGATAAAGAGAAATGTTATGAAATATAGCACCTTGAAGTTGTCTTGATTTCCCTTTACTAAGTATATGCTAAAGATCATCAACTGTAAGTCAAATGGAGCAGTGGTCAAGGTTCCTTATAGTAGAATATGTAAGATTTTAAGCTAATAGACTCAGTTTAATAGTTTTACAAGCAGAACTATCCAGATTCTATAAAACAGGCACAAGAGGGACTCTGGAGAGCTTGCTTAGTGGTTAAGAGCACTAACTGTTCTTGCAGATGACCTGAGTTCAATTTTCCAGAACCCACTTGGTGAACTAATAACTGTCCATAACTCCATTTCCAGGGGATATGACGTCCTCTTCTGACCTCTGTGGGCATTGCATGACATGGGTGCAATTATATACATGCAGACAACACATGCATATAAAATAATAATAATAAATTAAAAACAGACACAAGTGTATGAGGTTAAGAAAGGCTCACATTTTTCACAGAAGCAACATACTTACATGATTTCAATGTTTAAATATATGCTATTTTTCAGATAATAGTGATAATCAGCTTTTTAAAATTTTCTGAAATACAGAATAAGGTTAGGGTATCAAATAAATTAAGGGCATCTAAAAATAAAATAGTGAAGAAACAAAAATCTTAAAAGACAAACCAAACAGGTCAACTATGACTCAAAACATAACAAAATCACTTGCCAGGGCTGTATACAGGGGCAGAGGAACTTGAAAGTTTGGGCCATCCGGTTCTTACCTGCTCCCTCATGCAGTGAACGAGATGTTCTGGGTTCCTGAGTTGCCCTGTATACCAGTGCCTGGTGGCATATAGGTACCCTGACTCCCACCGACATTTCCTGAGGCACACACTAAAGAACTGCCTATCCTGTACTCTTTTTTGTCTGGGAAAGAGGCAAGGTGATAGTCCCGTTTCCCCATGAAGAAATCAGCATTGTGAGGGTCTAAAAGAGGTAGATAGAAGTTTATGTTTTTGTGGTTACATTTTCCATTTGTTTCTTTAGTTTCTATGGTTTGTGATATGGTGGTTTAGGGTGGGGTTGACCCAGGGAAGATTTTGTCCTAGTTTGTACAAGTCCAGTTGCCTGTTTAATCTTGCTCAGCAACAATCTTGCTAAACAGCCTAGCACAGTATCTTAGAATGTAGTGATGGGTGAGTAATTCTGGATGAATTGAAGTGATAGTGGTAAGAAGCATAAATAAACTTAATGCAATCCTGATAAAGAATTAAATATTGACCTTACCCTAAAATTTCAGTGGATGCTGTGTGTAAAATATCTGCATTGATATGTAATGAAGATTCTGGTTTCACCTCTTTCTGGGGTGAACCCACTGATAACTCCATCTTCATTGGAAAGAGATAAGACTTTTTCAGAACAGAAGCCGACTGTGCTTCTGGAGGTACCCAACTGAATGCTGTGAGAGTTGCTATTTTCCCTGCCATACCAAAGACTTCCTCTTGGCATTGCCCCCTGCTTCCCCCACAAAGCAAAACATGCAAAGCAAACTGGTAGAAACCATTCTCTGTCTTCCTGTCTACAGTTCAGCTTGCCTGGTCAAGCCTAGGACCTCGGCTTTCTTTTCTCTCTACCTTCTTTCTCTTGAAGGCCAAGTTCTCTACTTTTGAATCCCTCCACTTGGAGGTGAAGAATTGTCTTCATTCATATCTCTCTTCTTTCTTTCTTTCTTTCTTTCTTTCTTTCTTTCTTTCTTTCTTTCTTTCTTTCTTTCTTTCTTTCTTCTTTTTTTACTTTAAAAAAACTGAGAATTTCATACATGCATATAAGGTATTTTGATCAAATCCATGCCCACTCTCCCCTCCAACACCTCCCATATTTTCCCATCACTTTTTCTGACAACTCCTTTCCTTCCTTCCTTCCTTTGGCTTTTTGCTACTCTAACATTACCCCTCTGAAGAGGTATCCTTAAGATCTTTCAGGGATTAGATAAGAGCTCCCAAATATTTTTGTCATTTTTGGTCTTTGGAACAGAGTATGTTGCTAAGAGGCCCACGGACATTCTGACTTTTACCCAAGAAACTGGCTACTTTTCTTTGGGGTCCTTTTTACCCTAACTGCCTAGCCAATTACAGGGTCTCCCTGTAGCCCCACTACTCACTATGTAGACCAGGCTGGCCTTGAACTCACAGAGATCTGCCTGCCTCTGCCTCCTGGGATTAAAGGTGTATGCCACCACGCCCAGCCTACTACCTCTTATTCTTACCACACCATTCTCTGAAGAGGTTACCCAAATTGCTGATAGGGAATTGGGATGCCGCTTTGGCTTCTTCCATGCTGAACAGGGATTCAGGGTGAGGGCAATTGGGGTACCCCTTCAGTGGGTCTATCTAAAGGACTCCCAAATTGCATAACTCTTATCTGTAGGGAGAAAAGAAAGTCCTTGACTGGTGAATAGGGGATGTGAAGGAGAAGTAAAGGCAAGAGTAATTAGCATTACAAGTTCTAGACAGGGAACTAAAAAAAAGTCAGAACAGGGCAAATTTCAAATGTTCATATCAGAGTCCATTAGAATTTCTTGATGAGAGCTTCCAAAAGCATCTCTCCATTGGGTTCCTCCTGGGTTCCTTCTCATTTTTCTTTTGTCTGCCAAGGCTGGACTTGAGAGTGATGGATTCAGGATTTGCTTTCAAGTATTTTGATAGCCGTTGGAGTGGTTAGAATCAGTGTCAGTTCCCTCTCTTTGTTTCCCTTTACATAGGCTCTGGGGATCAAACGCAGGTTGCCAGACTTGCTTTACCATCTGAGCCATGTCCTCAGCCTGTTTGTAGTTCTTTGGTTGGCTTGCTTTGTCTTTCTTTAACATTAATAATGTTGGTCATCTCCTTCATGAAGCTCTTCACTTGGCTCTTAGGACTCCATCCTCCTAAAGTTCTTTGCCACAGCTTCAATGGCTTCTCCTCGGTCTCCTTTGCTGTCTTTTCAGTCCTACATATAGGTGTCTTCTGGGTTTTCTCCTCTGGCATGATTTCTTATGATTATGCCTGGCAGTCTCAGCTGTATTCATGTTCAGTCACACATCTGTTGACTTCTACATCTTTGTCTACCGAGCCCAGATCTGTATTTTTCAGTTGTCTGCCCCGCCCCCTTAGAGGATCCATAGAACTTTAAGTACAGTGGATTTGAAAGGGAACTCATCACTGTGTCCAAGGCTTCATCGTTTTTTTCTTTTCTGTCTTGATGTAGGTAACAGCCACCATCAGAGAAGACAAGTGGGTGACATGAAGACCTGCTTCCTCACTCTCCACTGTCATTGGATTACAAGTTCTATTGATTTGATCATGTCCCTGGATCTCTTCCAAATCTGCCTTCTCACTCTTCAGTGTTAGCTTAGACCTTTGTTGTTCCTTTCCTCATTTGTTTCCTAGCTACTCTCCCATTGTGCAGGTGCCCTGCCCTCTTTCTCCTATTCCAGATATAATACTCATAGCTAAAGTTTGAGTGCTTATATAATCTCATTTACATATAAAATATTGTGCATACATTCTTACCTAACAATCTCAATGGGCATTATAGTTCCTTTTACTTGGAGGGGACCTGGGCCTCTTAAATAGTAAGAGGGAGAATAGAAATTTGAGTTCAGCTTATATATTCCAGAGTACACGGTCTTTCCCAGGTCACTTACAGCCATATACTGACTTCCTGTGTCATCTTTGGTAAGCCTTTAAATTCCTTACTGAGCCAGTGTCTGTCTTATTCATCTCCTGTTCTGCCTTGTAGAACTGTTATTTCAGGCCTGTTGAACTTCCTGGTCTTTCTTGAAGGAGTCATACTTCTGTTTTGTGTATTTGAGCACATTGCTTCCTCTACTTTGATTCCTTACCTCTATCCTTCAGTGCTTCAGCTTAACTGAGATCTCTTGAGATATCATCGCTGTCTTCCTACTTCTTAGCTAGCCTCTCTTTTACTCCCTTGGCACCTTGTATGTACAACTGCTATATTTATAAAGAATGTATATATTCATAAACTTTCAATTCTTAGGATAATTTTAAATTATAGTAAAGTTGGAAAGGTAGAGTATAGGAGTTTTCTTAAAGTCTCAGTTTTCTTGTTAACATCCCATGTCACTGGAGTATAATTGTCACAACTGAGTTAACATTGTTATCTTACTGTTGGCTAAATTTCACACTTTATCAAGATATTCCTTTGTTTGCTGTCCTTTTGGAATACCCTTGAGATTTTATATCCCTCTTTCAGGATTATGATGGTTTGTCTTCAAAGCCAGGAATTCACAACTGCCTGTACTGATTTATTTACTTCCGTAGAGTATTGTATCAAATCTTTCAGGATTATGATGGTTTGTCTTCAAAGCCAGGAATTCACAACTGCCTGTACTGATTTATTTACTTCCGTAGAGTATTGTATCAAAGAACGCACTGCAGTATCGAGGAAATTCCCAGCATGATGCCCAGGAGTTTCTGCTTTGGCTTTTGGATCGAGTTCATGAAGACCTCAATCATGCTGTAAAGCAAAGTGGCCAACCTCCTCTGAAGGTGAGGGTGCGCATTCCTGGGCAGTCAGGGAGCAAGGAAAAGGAGGGAGAGAGGGAAACCAGGGAGACCATTAAGGAGAGGGGAGGGAAAGGGGACCACCACAAGAGAAAGGAACACCAGGTGATGAGAGGGAAGCACTGGAGAAAGAGGGGAACACTAGGGAAGGAGCGAGGAGGAGAGGGGAGCACCTGGAGAGGAGAGGGGAGAAGAGGGGGGCACCACGTTGGAGAGGGGAGCATCACAGAAGGAGAGAGGGGCACCAGGGTAGGTAAGGAGAGAGAAGAGCCTTCTCACGAACCTCCACTGAGTGAGTACTCGTTGCATGTAGTTAAAAGATTGGCTAAGCTCTGGGTGAGTATAAAACTAAGTGGAGATCTTAAGGGTCATTTAACCTTCTATATTGTTGTGCTGGCTATAAAAGAAACACTGTCCCCAAGGACCTCATAGTCTAATGAGGGGAAGCAGTTGCTTCCTATTCTAGAAAGACATACTTTATAGATTGCTAGAACAAATACACAGCCAAGGAGGAAATGTATAGGTATGTCTGCTGTTAGAATTGGATTTGAACATTGGAACTCTGTCTCTACAATGGTTTTGCTGAGATACGGCAATTCATACTCAACTTTCAAACATGTAGTCTTACTATGACAGGAACAGTGATTCATAGTGGAAAGAGTTCTTATGGAACTCAGGAAGTTTTTGACAATTATGGTCTTTATTTCAAAATTTGTAGTTTTAGTAGGTTTGCAAATTATTCTGATTCAAGGTGCTTTTGTGCCATAGTCATGACTGTGTACATGTGGCTTGATCTGCCAACACAGTGAGACATCCTCAAGGCCAGGCACTGTGCTCTTTATCCCTGTACTCTAACCTGTACCATGTGTTGGCAAATGCTTAGGAGCTAGCTAGCTGTTAGGTAGAGGGACAAGGAAAGGTTAAGTAAAATGGGAAGTAGACTGTGTTTAGGCATTAAGATGAAGCTTGGAGCATCCTGAGGAAGAGAGCTAGCTATTCCCTGTATAGGCTAGAGATGGATAAACATGGTCTGCAGCAGTCTGTCTGAGGTGATGAGTCCGTATAACCCTCAGGCTGTGTGCTCGTTCTGTCACTGACACATCTGGGCTCCATGTACAGCTGGCAAAGGAAGTTAAATATTTGTGATATTTTAAGATCATCTTCAGTCAAGAATTGTTACTTCAAGTCTCGGAATTCTACTTTGTTTTTTTTTTAAGCCACCATCAGAGACTGATATGATGCCCGAGGGACCATCTTTTCCTGTGTGTAGCACTTTTGTACAAGAACTTTTTCAAGCCCAATACAGGTATGAACAAATGTTCCCTTATCTTTTGTCTTCTTGACATATAGTATTTGGTGATCTTAATGTGAGTGTCTTATGTTTTTGTCTTTGAAGATCATCTTTGACATGTCCGCATTGTCAGAAGCAGAGTAACACTTTTGACCCTTTCTTGTGCATTTCTTTGCCAATCCCTCTACCCCACACAAGGTAAGAATGGAGGTACTAAAATGAAGACTATGTTGTGATAGGGTCCTTTTCCTCTGTAGGCACTTGTGAGGGCTTCTTACTTACGCAGACAAGTAATAAACAGAGACTTTGTTAAACCCTTGAAGCTTAATGCCTGTCTGAATGTGCAGGCTGAGCAAGCACACAATGAAGGAAGCCCATGGCACAGCCTTTGTAGCTGGTTCTTTTAGCTTCTCTGGAAACCCTCTTTGTGCTTATTGAAACTTTCTCAGACCTTCCAGGAGTTAGGCTGTTTTGAAGGAAAAGACAGAACCAAGTATGAGTGTGTTGATTTTTAAAATTTGTTTTATGCAGATTGCTTTTTCCAAAGATCTTTGATTTGTTTGATAGCTTCTACTTGGGTCTAAATGAACTTTTCCAGATAAAGGGGTGAGCTAGCTTCAGTTTTAAACTTGTATTTATTTAATTTTTTCATTCATTCATTCATTCATTCATTCATTCATTCATTCATTCAGTTCATTTATTATTTATTTGTGAAGAAGTCTCATGTATTATAGGCTGGCCTCAAAGTTCCTATATATGCGAAGATGACTTTGAACTTTTCATCTTCCTGTCTTTACCTTCCAAGTGCTGGGATGGCAGGCACGTGCTACAATGCCTGGTTTATGCCATGCTGAGGACTGAACCTGGGGCTTGGTGCATGCTAGGCAAACACTGTACCAACTAAGCTATTTCCCCAGGCCTATCTTCAGTTTTTATGTTGATTTCAGGTCAGGTGTTTCTCACTTCTTACAGGTTAGCTAAAATAACTGACTAATGAGAAGATCTGACTTTGATCTGTACAGGCCTCTCTATGTCACTGTAGTGTATCAAGGGAAATGCTCCCACTGCATGAGGATTGGTGTGGCCGTGCCTCTGTCTGGGACTGTTGCCAGGCTTCGGGAAGCAGTGTCGATGGAGACAAAGATCCCCACTGATCAGGTAATGTTTAACTCTGTTAAGACAGACTATACTTGAGCCCCTAAAGTGTTCTACTTATTTGGAATTTATTTTGTAATTCTCTGCCAAATATGTTAGATAGAAATTTGAAACCAGTTATGTTTAGTGATGGGGGCTGTGTGGAAAACAAGGCACAAAAGAATAAAGCGTACAGAAAACCTTTTCCTGCTCTATTTAGTTACAGATAAGAAAGTAAAAGTTACAGCTTTATGCCAAGACCTTCTTGTGGCTTTGTTTATAAGGTATAATTACTTAACTTGTCATTCCATTCCTGTGGGTGTGGATGAGAACAACAGAAGAGCATCCCTGTGGTATTTGACAGAATTAGAAATCCCCACCTGTTATGGTGATGAGAATGGACATCTAGTCAGTACCATGTTTTGTATGTAGAACATGTTCATTGTGCTTCTTCCCTCCCCATACCATGGTACTGGGATTTGAACCCAGGGCCATACTCATGCTGGTAAGTGCTCTGCATCTGAGCTAGACCTGCTGTTTTGTTTCCTACTACTGAAGCTGGACCAGAGTTTCTTGTCTTGTTTAGTTAAGAAAAAGTTACGTTCTCCCTTTTTGGGTGTGGGTAGGGGTACATCTTTGATAAGCAGTTATGTTTAAATTGGCCAAAAAATACTTTTGGCTTGTTGTTGACTTGGCATAATCCATACACAGCTTTTATTGGGATCACTATTAGGAAAAACGTTAGGGTAAACAATCCTTAGGATTTATTAAGGAAAGATAACTTGATGGCAAAGTAGCTTTTCCCTAGATAGCTTTTGGAAGCTACTATGTAATTACTTGAATAATAAAGGTTGTTTGTGTTTTGGCCTCATGTGGCCCCATTTGGGAAATTCCCACAGTAAAACAAACACCATTGTTGCCTTAATACAGCAAATCTGGCATATTTTCATAGGCCGAATACTGGTACACTGATAAAATGTTCATACTTTACTTCGAATTGCTTCTCGATTCTTTTTTTCTCTCCAATATGAAGAGAAAGACAGAGATGAAAGGCCTTAGTGATCTCTGAGGCCAGTATAGCTGTACCTTTAAAGCTTCAGGGCTGCCTGACTCCTCTCACATGTAGTATAAATTGGTGAAATATAATTACTCGTTTACTTTGGCCCTCAGCTTGCTGGAAAGTGCATGCTCACTGTGAGAAAAACAGTACGGACATAAATTCCTTTGAGGAAAGTGTGTCAGCGACTTTTTTTTTTTTTTTTTCTGGTTCTTTGTGGAGTAGGTCACCTGCCCCTTTCACTTCATAGGCTTGTTGAATGTTAGTACTAATAGGGGGACCTTTGGGGTCCAGTGTAACCCCTCCTATTGAAGGTCACAGGGCTGGTTGGTAGCAGGCTAGGCCTGAAACCCCCTCTAGTTCAATCTAGTATTTTTTTACTGGATAGAGCTGCTGACATGTAGCAAAGGTGCTAAATACCTCCATTATTTTCTTCCTTATCTTTTTTTTTTTTGCTGATTCATTGTAAAATATTCAACCATTTCAGAAATGTAAAAGTAAAAATATCTTTTTTTTTTTA